TCGAGAGTGAACTGCGACGCGAAAGTACGACACATGTATCGGCGGGCTACGCTCGCTCACCTCCTTTGCCTGGGGCCGAGGTTTGGCGGGGCGCAGAAACGGGTGGCGGGAGGGGGGAAGGCTTCGTAGAAGGAGGCTGCTTCGTAGAAGGCGCCAGCCTTACATCTATAGAAGAAGGACCGCGCCTTCTAAGAAGCAGGGGTGCTTCTAAGAAGCCCTCCCCCCTGCCCCCACCCCCCTCTGCGCGTGGCTGAGCACTGCGACGCGTGGGCGACGCGTGGGCGCATCGACCGCCACGCGGGGCTGGGCAAACGAAGACCGCAGAGACAAGGACGAGGACGCGCGCGCCGAGGGAAACAAAAAAAACGACGGGAGGTTCTTGGCCTTTCCCGGCTTCCAGATGCCCTCAAGGGCCCTGGGACCCTCAAAACGGCTCGGGGTGAAAAGGATGGAGTGGCGCCCAGAACGGACAGAGCAAAAAAGACGAGCTACCGACAGTGACAGACACAGACGGTGAGGGCGAGAGAGAGAGAGAGATAGAAAGAGAGAAGCTCACAGTAAGAAGAAAATGCACAACTTACGCACGCACATTAGAAAGATGAGATAAGACGGGAGGAGAGGAGAGAAGGCGAGAAAGAACAGGAGATGAGGGAGGGTACAGAAAGGAGAAGCGAGAAGAGAGAAGAGAAAAGAGCATATACGATATAAATAAGAGAGAGAGAGAGAGAGAGTAAGAGAGAGAGAGAGAGAGAGACAGACAGACAGACAGTCAGATAAACAGACAGACTGACAGACTGACTGACGGACAGACAGCGAGCAAGCGAAAAATATGTGCATTCCGCACGTAAGTTCGAACGATATGTGTATACAGATATGTACATGTACATACACCCACACGCACATGCACGCACGCACGCACGCACGCGCGCGCACACGAACGCACCACGCACGCACGCACGCACGCACGCACGCACGCACGCACGCACGCACGCACGCACGCACACACACACACACACACACACACACACACACACACACGCGTTAGCCCGCGTGTCCCCCAACAGTTGGATATTGCGTTGTGGGGGAGGGGTTTTGCGGCGCAAGCTGCACGATGTAAGCTATGCGGTGCGAGAAATGGAAGTGAAAGCTACGCGGTGTAATCGATTATTACAAATGGTGACAAATCCCACGCCATTGCAAATATCCCACCCACAAACAACTTGGTTTGCAAAACCCATGCGGCGGCGATTGCAATGAGTGCTTGGCGTTGGCTGGTGCGTCTCTGCTGCCATGCTAGCCCGCGCACGCTCGCGTGCACAGTAGCCAGCTAGTTTGGCGCGACCGACGCGGCCGCGGTGCCTCTGACCGCTGGGCACTTCCCAGCGGGCACATCAACGCGAGTCGGTAGCTCGGGCGGGCGCGGCATCATGGCGACGCCGACGACGGTAGACACAATTATGAGAGCAGCGATGATGGTGACGATGGTGGCGATGACGACAGCAAGGCCGATGACGGCGCCGATGCTGCCCACGCCCGCCAGTAACGGTGACGATGCTCTCGCGTCGGCGATGAAGGTGTTTGGAAAAGTTCGATACACGCGCGCGCGGCCGATGCGCACGAGTGGCCCGCGTGATATGATTTGACGCGGATCGTGCCCCCCCCCCCACCACGCGCGCAAGGGCGTTAGAATGAGTTCGATATGCGGCGCGAGAGGCCCGTTTGGCAGAACTTTTATGGACATGTTGGAAAACCGACGGTTCCTTGAGAGCCCGCAAGACCGCGAGCGCAAGATTAATTTGAAAACCGATGTAGCGAAACCGTGTTTTTCTCCAAATGCTTGCCCCATGCCATGGAAGTTCTAGCTCAGACCTTACTAATTCGTCCGCTGCCCCCCCGAAGTCCGATGCCCCCAAACAAATCCCTATGGCTATGCCTGTGCCTATGCTGACGCCTCCCCTTCAAATTCCTATGCCTACGCCTGTGCCTATGCCAATGCCTATGCCTATGCCTATGCCTATGTCTATGTCTATGCCTATGCCTATGCCTATGCCTATGCCTATGCCTATGTCTATGCCTATGCCTATGCCTATGCCTATGCCTATGCCTATGCCTATGCCTATGCCTATGCCTATGCCTATGCCTATGCCTATGCCTATGCCTATGCCTATGCCTATGCCTATGCCTATGCCTATGCCTATGCCTATGCCTATGCCTATGCCTATGCCTATGCCTATGCACCACCTCTGAGCGCTCCTATTCTTATGCCCATGATTATGCTTGTGTTTCCAATGTTTGGTTGCTTGCGTGCTTGCTTGCTTGCTTGCGCGCTTGCCTGCTTGTTTGCTTGCTTGCTTGTTTGCTTGCTTGCGTGCTTGCGCGTTTGCACGCTTGCTTGCTTGCTTGCTTGTTTGCTTGCGTGCTTGCGCGCTAACACGTTTGTTTGCCTGCTTGCTTGCATGCGTGCTTGTTTGCTTGCTTGCGCGCTTGCTTGCACGCTTGCTTGCTTGCTGAGTTTGCGGGGCCCAAGCATGTTGGATTCCTCTGTTTCTTTGATTTGAGTCGTCTAATCTACTTGGAGTCAACGATGGCTGATATCTTATATGTGTTCGGGACACTCGTTTTGAAATCCATGCGAAATCTGGGGTGTTTGAAAGATTCCGACATGCGCGCACGACGACGCGCGCGTGCATTTCGTCCACTTGATTGTCAGGAGTTCTTGCGACCGCACGCGCGCAAGAGCGTTCGAACGATTCCGACACGCGCGCGCGAGAGGCCCGTCTGGTAGCATTTTATGAAGATGTTGCAAAGGCCATGGTTTTCTCAAGGATTCGTAACAGGCGCGGGCAAAGGCGTTGTTTGAAACCTGTGTTGCGAAACCATGTGTTGTTTATATGTGTTCGTGTCTCTCGATTTTGAAATCCTTGCGAAACCTTGGGTTGTTGAAAGATTTCGGCATGGGCGCGCGACGACGCGCGCGTGCGCACGTCGTCCCATTTTCAGTTGCGAGTGATTCTTGAAAACTGATGACTTGTGATAAGCGAGCGTGCGGGCACAATTCTGTTGCAGAGGATGCGGGGCGGGACCGAACTCTGGCTTGCCTGGGGTGGTATGACATAATTTGTAGGGTGGACGATGGGTCAGAGCCATATGTAAACTGCCATGCGAAAAGGTGTACCGTCAAGTCCGAGGGGGGGAAAGTAGATCCTATCATTTTTTCACAGGAGTGAATTGTTGCCGACTGCTCGCGCAATCATCCCACCCTCCCACCCGCAGCTTGGTTCGCAAAACCCCTGCGGCGGCGGTTGCGATGACTTCGGTCATGGCTAGCGCACCTCTGCGGCCGGCACGCGAAAGCTCACGCGCAGGCTGGCCAGCTGGCCTGGCACATTCGATGCGGCCGAGTTGGCGCTTACCGATGGCAACGTACCAGCGCGTGTCAAAGGCCGTGTTGGCGCGCGGGCACTTCAATGCGGGTCGGTGGCTCGGGCGGGCGCGGCATCATGGCGACGCCGGCAACGGCGGCAACAAAGATGATAGTAGCGATGATGGTGACGATGGTCGCGATGACGACGGCAAGGCCAATGACAGCACCAATGCTGGTAACGCCGATGACGAAGATAATGTTCATGTGTCGATGATGAAGATACTTGAAAAATGCTGGCGGCAATTGCGGCGATTGACGATGACGATGACGTGATGTGGCGGCGCTGATGAGGGCGATGATGAGGAAGTGCGCGAGCGCGAAAACCCAAGAACCCTGACAAAATGTTCTGTGAAAAAGAATTTGTGATTCATACGTGTTTGAAGTGCTTTATTTTAAAATGTTCCGAAAAACCCATGGCTTGGGGAATATCTCAACACTCGCGGCGCGCGCGCGTGGCCCGCATGGTATGATTTGATGTGGATTCGTGCACCGGGCGCAAGCTGGATCCACGTGGATGCGCCGCGTGATGAAACAAAGATACGGGTTCTGGGCTAGATTGCTAAAAACCTTATGGCTTCACTGCGATTTCAGCAAATCTGAGCGGGCGGAAAAGTTACAAGAGCTGTGATGTAAAATCTGAGGGTATTGGGGGTGGTTATGTTGAAGTCCTTGCAAAAACTGGTATGTTTGATATGAGTTCGACATGTGAGCGCGCGTGGACTCTGTTTCATGTTTTGCAAAGAGTATTGATAAACTATCTTCTGAGATAGACAAGTGCGCGCGCACAGTATTGTTTGACAGGATTGACAGGCCTGCCTGAGATGGTGAATATTCATATGGAAAAGGAACGACGAGGCAGAATCACATGGAATTTGCCGTGTCCCAGGGGGTTGTCGATAAGTCCGGGGGGAAAGGGCGGTAGAGTCTGGTTTCCTTTCGAGAGGAGAACAGATCTGGCACAAACCACGTCGCAAAACATACGCGGTGTGATCTGGAGGTGGCAGCGATGCGGTGCAAGCTACGCAGAGCAAGCGATGTCGTGCAAGCTATGCGGGGCAAGCTGAGTAGTGCAATCTAGGCTTAGGTCGGGCCTGTCCCCCTACAGGGGTTTTTTTTGGGCGCAAAACCAAAAATAGTCAAACAAATACCCCCCAGAGGTCAAAAACAGACAAAAAACCGTTCCCTGAGCATTTTTGAACTATTTTTTGGAAGTCCCCCTGTAGAGGGGACAGGCCCGACTTGAATCCAGGTGGAGTGAGCACATCGCTCGGAGCGCCCAGGAGCGCCCACGAGGCCGCGGCACGGGCGGCAACGCGACCTCGGCGGACCCACCCAGCGCACCCGGCTCCCCCACGGGCGCCCGCGAGGCGGCACGGCGGCCACGCGGCGCCACCTCGGCCGACCCACCCAGCGCACGGGACGCCCGCGAGCGCCCACGAGGCGGCATGGGAGGGCAACCTGGAAAATCCGCGGCCGCACCGTCCAAGCAATGACGGAAGAGAAACGTAGGGAACCGAGCTCTATGCACCGACGCTTTTTCCGGCCCTGCACTGAAATTCGCAAAGCAAAGCGGATCCTGGTGTATACGGGATGCTGGCGTACATACACATTTTCGTCATTTCCCCCGGAAAACGGGGAAACAACTATACACCAAACCACCCCGACGTCGTCCCTGACTCTCAAAAAGTCCAGGGATTGAAAAACAGCACGCCACTGGTAATGTATATGTTCCAGTTTCCGACAATACAAATCCCTGAGTGCATCCACTGGTTGGGGAACGCGTATGAACGCAAAGAGAGGCAGAGATAGAGAGGGAGGGGGAGGGGAAGGGAGAGAGACAGAGAGAGAGGGAGAGACAAGAGAGGTCACGCGCGAGCACCACGTATGCATGGACACGGTCGCCGGGTGTCATACCTGGAGGCTGTCGTACTGTAGTGATGTGCTCGCGCGGTGAGGAGAACCATGGCGGCGACGACGGCGTGGATAACGGCTGTAGCAGCAAAGCAGTGTGGTCGGCGGTCTCGTCTGATGCCTTGCCGCTTGCCTCATGTCATGCTAGCTTGACATTCGCTCGGCCATCCATACAGGCATGCAGCTGTTCGGGTTGAAAATCACTCTCGGCCAAGTGCCTTCATCTTGGACGCAACGTCCTCAACATGTCCGCGACTAACTGGGTGCACGTGCGAGGAAGGCAGATTACCAAAAAAGATGAGCAGGAGAAGAAGAAGAAGAAGAAACACATCACAATCGAGACAGAGGAAAAAGGAAGGGAACTTACGATTTCCCATCAATTCATGACACACGGCTTTAGGGCAAAGGCAACAGCGCAAAGACGCAGGCCTGGTAGAGTTGATAAAATTATCGAGGTTCCCGTCGTCCTCACATCAGGCGCGGTTCCGCACCCAATCCCCGCCGTCCATCTTCCTCCCAATCGCACCCAATCCCCGCCTCCAATCTCCGCCGTCCTCTTCCTCCTCGTCCCCGCACCCAAACAAAGTCGTATACAAAGACACCTCCGAGCAAACCTGGCGTCGTAAATAAAGGAAGCGTCACGGGCAACGCGCGATTCATACAGTGCTGGCCAATCGGGGGGTTTTTCCTGCATCGAACCAAGGATGACCACACAAGCACTAGAAGACCACATGTTAATGAAAGTGTTCAACCACCCCACCCCACCACAACCCCCAACATCCCACCACCACCCCTGTCCAGATCCCCAGACCCTGATAAGAAACCTCAGGATCCGAAAATGAGGGGCGCATCCTCGAGGCAGCATGGATGACCTGAGGTGACCCAGATCTACGATTCGAGAGATTCATACGCTGCGGGGTGTAAGGGGGCATCTGCTGGCAGAGCACCAGGAAGCTGGAAACACACACGGCTGGATTCCATGCGGGACATGCGGAAACCACGCGCTAGGGGCATATGCGGAAGGCCAGCATACATGGGGGCCGAGCGCAGGAAAAGCAAGCGGCCGCATGTGCATCCAGCTCTCGCCAAGAACGACCAAGCCACGTGCATGAAATCTCCTGGCAATCCCTTTGCTGTGGCATCTGCTGATTCGGCCGTGTAGCCCAGCACGGTTTGGACGGTAATTCGTGCACGCACGGACAACAACGCGGCCGGTGTCCGAGGTCCAATGGCCTGGCAAAACACATGGGGTAAGCTCGAGTTCCGTTCCTAGCCGTTCCAGCTTCCTTCGCCTGCACTGCTGCGGCCGCTTCGCCTCTGGCGCCTTCGCTGCTGGCAGAGATTTCAGAGGCAGGAACTTTCGCCTCACTATTTGTGCACTCGGATGCCTCAACATATTGGCGTTTATGCCTGCACTTGGAAATTCCTGCTCGCCAGAGGGGAGCACCTTGTACAGATCATAAGTGTTCCACCTGCACCTGGCCAGCTTTACGGGGTCCTCTCTGAGTTCCTCGATGGCAGAGAACAACCCGTTCAAGCCTGCAAACCTCGAGTCCGCATCTGGCTCCCGATCGACGAGCATCCGAACAAGGCTGTCCCACACTGGCATGTCCGCTCCGTCGGCAGTCTGAGACAGCACGCACATCCCATGATAAATAATCAAATGCCATGCGGAACGACTCCATTTGCCGAATGGAATTGGTCCCATACAAGTTGATACGAATCGCACCAAACCATAAAAATTAGCCTGACGAAGGACCCAACCACATGCTGCTGCGAGTACCGCGAGGGAAAGGAAACGAAGAAGGGGGGCAGCAACAAGGACTGCGGCGTGCATGACGGGGAGAAAAACTGACGCGGGCGAGCGGGGAGTCTTCTTGGTTTCGCCCGAGCCCCGTGCGCGGCCCGTGCCATGCGGACGCTCCCGCTGAGGCCTTCGGTGGAGCTCCCTCTGGGGCAAGCTGTAGACCTCCCCTGTATCGCAACCAAAACCTGCTCCGTCGGCGGGCCGAGCAGGGTCACCGAAAGACGCGGATGTCATGTCCACGCCAGTGGAAGAAGAACTCGACTTTGGAAAAGGCAGAGATCCACAACACACGCAGGCGCAGTCATGACCCTCGCCTTATCGACAACGCCTCGAATCGATACGGCAGCCGAGCGAGCAGCAGCAGCAGTGACCTGCGGAGCACCTCATTTCTGAACCAAATCGAACGAAAACACCTGAACGAGTCTCATTTCTGGATCCGCGAGAGCTGCAATCAAGCCAGAGCATCATAGTGAGCCTCATGTCTGGATTTGCAATCCGAATAAAATCTTTGAATCTTTGACCACGATGAAAACCTTCTAGCGGAACACTATTGAGGAAACGCGTGGTTCCAGCTCGGGGCCACCATGTGAGATACCCCCCATACGTGGCCTGGACACGTGAAGACACGCAGTTCCAGCTCGGGGCAACCTTGTTAGGAACTGCCCAGCGTGGCCTAGACACGTAAGAACAAGTGGCTCCAGCTTGGGTCCACCATGCTAGATATCCCACCGGGTGGCTTGGACATGTAAAAAACCTGCTTCCAGCTCGGGGCGACCGAGTTTGATACCGACCTGGGTGTACTGGACAGTTGGCTCCAGCGCGGGATCACCATGTTTGATGTCCCTGTGGTTGCCCGGACACGTGAAAACACGTGGCTTCTCACATGTTGATCTAATTTCTGGATCTGGGAGGGCTGAAATGAAGCCCGAACACAATAGTGAGCCTCATTCCTGGGCCAAATCCAGCTGGAACACCATGGTAGGTCTCACTTCCCGACCACATCGAACCAGAAAACCATCGTGAGCGCTGCCAGACCGTTCTGCCGGACCGCTGCTGGGCCTGGGAGACGCCTCCACCTGGCCCACCTGTGGAGGCTCTGGCAACAGGAATCTTTGAACTCTGCAAGAAGCCTCCTAGCGAAATGCTGTTGCGGAAAATAACCGGAAAAAACCTGAGATCTGCGCGGATTTCTCGGATCGGCGCTAGGCCCCATTCCCTGGCGCGCGGAGCGCGCTACGGGCGGCGCCACAAGCGCCGCCAGGGGGGCCCAACGCAGATCCGAGAAATCCGCGCGGAGCTCCGAGAGTGTACGTCTATGCGGCCTCCCTTCTTCGAAAAACGAGAAACACGAGAAACACGAGTCATGCGAGAGCACCGACAGCAGCCGCCGTTGGGCAGGCGACATCCTGCCTCCAGTGGGCAAAGCCCGCGGCGGCACCGACAGCGAGCCCTGTCCAAAAAAGGCAAGACCTGCTGTCGATCGTTCTCCCCGCTCTTTCCGTACCCGTGTGGCGGGTTCCGGAGCCCCGGAACCCAAAATTGCTGGCATCGCTTGGGGCCCACTCTTTAGATACTTTCGCCAGCTTGCGCCGGCCTTCCGCCGGCTTCCGCCGGAGGAGCCGCCCTCGTTCTACTGCCGCCGCCTCCCGCCGAGGAACAGATAAAACAACTCCTTCCATCCTCGAAGGCGAGGCCCTTTCTGGAGCGCCTCTTGTCGTTCGTGCCGAAAGAGAGCGGCCGAAGACTGGCAACATTCCGGCACACCCCTCGCACGCCTCGCGGTCCCACAGGGAGCTCCACCAGAGGCGGCGTTCCCATGCGTGTCCGCGCCGCTAATGTCGGTGCACCCCTCACACAGCTCGTGGCCCCACAGGGAGCTCCACCTCAGGCCCCAAAACGGCGCAAGAGAGCCCTAGGACGGCCCACGACTCGGAGATCTTCTGACCCGGGTCAATCCAGACCCAGGTCAGTCAGGCCTCGCTCTGGCCGACCCCCGTTTGCATTGACCCCCGTCTCTGCACGGCTTCCCCCAGGGCCGTAGGCGACCCGAGGAGGAGGAGGAGGAGGAGGAGGAGGAGGAGGAGGAGGAAGAGAAGGAGGAGGAGGAGGAGGATGAGGAGGAGGAGGAGGAGAAAGGGGAGGAGGAGGGGTCGCCTCCACCCGCCTCAAGGCTCCCGAACGAGGGCGCCCCGATGGCCCCCGGGGCCGCCGGAGGCCCGGGCAGCGCCCGGGGCCGACCCCGAACGCTGGGCTCCTCGGCCTCGCCCGCCGGGCCCACGGGCACCAGGGCCGTCGCGTCGGAGGGCGCGGCGGGCACCGGGGGCGCCGAGGACGCCTCGGCGGCCCGTGGGGGGCGGCGAGAGGGAGGAGGAGGAGGAGGAGGAGGAGGAGGAGGAGGAGGAGGAGGAGGAGGAGGAGGAGGAGGGCCAGTACGCTGCGGCGCGCCGGTTCGTCGACCACGACGGCCGGAGAACCTCGACAGCCAAACGCGGTCATAGAGACCGGCCTCCGGACACGGAGAGGGGACGGGCTGCGAGGGCAGCCGACCACCAGATGATATGGCAAGTGCCGAGCGCTATCGAGGACCTGTGTCCTGCAAGAGCGGCTGGCGGACACGAACATAATAGTGACATGCTGTTTTGAGCGATAAACACGACAAAATATATTCATGGGCCGGTACAAAACGAAAACCGACCAGCCCCAAAACAAGTCGTCGTCTTCAAAACATTGAGTGAACAGGTTTGGCACTGACGTCTCACTCTTGGCACGCGAAGATCGCAGCCTGTAGCGCACTATCCACCGCGGCAGCGGACGGGCGCTCTTCGCCCTCCTTGACCTTGTGATAAAGGTGAAAAGCCAACACGACTCGTCGAATGGCGGAGCGACGAGCGAGCGGGCCAGACGGAGGGTAGAAGGTGCCAAGGGCCCACCGTTGGATCGGGTCGGCAGGGGTCGGGGTCGAGGGAGGAAAGAGGAGACCTGTGAGACAGGGGCACGTGAGGTAGTGGCGGAAGTCGTCAACGGCGTGCGCGGCGGGGCATCCGAATCGACAGGGCCGACCACTAAGGACGTGCATACGGCCCCGTGTCGTCCAGCCGCCGCACGCCGTTTTGAGGAAAGCCCAGCGCCAGGACGGTCGCACTTGAATCAGTTCCCCCCGAAGCTCGCCCCAAACCTCCCTCATCTCGGCCACCGTCCTGGGCGCCGCTCCGCCGTGCCATGCGCGGAGGCGGCGGTGGAGGAGGAGGTGGAGGCGGTCCGGGAAAGAAGCGGGGAGGAGGGTGCGCGCGATGGCACGCTGGATGTGGGGCTTCCTGCGAGCCACCAATGCCTGCTGGCGCTCATCCCGCGCTGCTTGCCGCGCAGCCTGAAGATCCTGCGCGCAAAATGGCGGCAAGTCCTCACTCCCTTCCGCCGCCGCAGCCAAGTGCTGGGCAAAGGCCGTCGGGTCCTCCCAAAAACGCGGCGACCACTCTCCCTTCCTGAAATCCATGTGGAAAGCATGATCTTCCGCCGCGCTCCGCAGACGTTCCAGGGCCAGCCTCCAATCCGGGAGAGTATACAGAGCCATGCGCATGCGCGCAGCGGTGGTCATGATCTCCAGGGTGGGAATGGCGCATGCTGGGAACCACGCGGCCAAACTTAAAAGCTCAGAGCGTGAGAACGAGCTAGGGGGGAGTTTGAGGAGCGAGTGAAGGGCTAAGAATTCCGAGCGAGCCATGCGCGGCAAAGGCACGAATTGGGCGACATATGATAGAGTCGACACCGCGTGGGACGCATACAAGCGGACCGCGCTGTCGGGCGGAGCGTTGGTCGTTGGTATCTGATGGGTGCGGCTCCACCACTTCTGCCGTGGGCCGTGCCACTGCCGCGCTCGATCGGCGCCTGGCCCCACGAACAGACCTAAGTAGCGAGCGTACGAGGCAATGTTGAACCGCCCCCATTCCTCACCTGGCAGACGCAGGAGGAGGAGGAGGAGGAGGAGGAGGAGGAGGCATGCTCGCGTCGTTGAAAAACTAATCACGACGGCAGGTTTTTGACCCTTTTCGGCCACTGGGAGCCCTCGCCAGTCCCCAGGGCCGTCAGAAGACGACGCGGGAAGAAAAAGCGGTCCTGGGGAAGTGGTCGCGAGGTCGGGGGCCCGCGTCTCGAAAAAAATCGAGACGCCAGATGTCTGGAGGGAGGGCGGCGAAAGGGCCAGGCGAGAGGACGGAGGAGGTGGACCCTGAGACCCTGGCGTTGCAATTGTTCCCCTCTTCCTCACTCGGACTCGCTCACACCCAGACTCACTCGCGCTCAGACTCAGTGATACTCAGACTCACTCATGCCCAGACTCATTCACATTCATTTTCACTGACATGCTCCTCCTCCTCCTCCTCCTCCTCCTCCTCCTCCTCCTTCTCCTCCTCCTCATTCAGACTCACGAATACTCAGACTCACTCGCACTCAGACTCACTCATTCTCAGATTTACTCACACTCAGACGCAGGTACACTCACAATCAGCCTCACTCGCACTTGGCCTTGCGACGCACTCGCACTCAGAGTTGCAGGTTGTGAGGCTGTCTCAGTTGATGCGCTGGCGTCAGCACCCCAAGGGGGAGCCGCAAGGGGTGGCTGCACGGCCCCGTACGCGCCCAGATTGCGAGGATGTCTCAGGCGGTCTGCCTTTTCGTGGCACTTTCAAAACAGTTTGTGGGGATATCTTAAGCACTTTGCCTGTTTGGTTGCCTGGACTTGGCTGCAGTCAATACAGATGCGTGAGGATGCCTCAGCCGATTCGCTGTCTTCGACACCCCAAGAGGGAGCCGCAAGGGGTGATGGCACGGCCCTGTGCGCGCCCCGACTGTGGCGATGTCTCAGGAGGTTTGCCTGCTCGGTGGCGCTTTCAGAACAGTTTGCGGAGGCGTCTCAGGCGGGGAGGCGTCTCAGGCGGGCTGCCTGTTTGGCTGCTTGGACTCCAAGCTGGTGCGTGAGGATGTCTCAGCCGATGTGCTGTCTTCAACACCGCAAGAGGGAGCCGCCAGGGGTGGTTGCACGGCCCTGGCCGCACCCAGTTTGCTGGAGAGCTTCAGGCGGCTTGCCTGTTTGGTTGCTTGGACTTGCTTGCTCTGTTCGAGATATCTCAACCGATGTTCTGGGTTCAGCGCTCTAAGTGGGAGCCGCCAGGGGTGGTTGCACGGCCACGTACGCGCCCAGATCGTCGGGATGTCTCAAACAGTTTGCCGGCTTGGTTGTCTGGATTTTTCTGTTTTCAAGGCAGACGCGTGAGGATGTCTCAGCCAATTGTTGGCTTCAGCACCCCAAGGGGGAGCCGACAGGGATGGTTGCACGGCCCCAGGTCGTGGGGATGTCTCACGCGGTTTGCCTGTTTGGTTGCTTGACCTCGTCTGATTGCAGAACGGATCGTCAGGACGTCTCAGCCGTTTTGCTGGCTTCAGCACTCCAGGGGGGAGCCGCCAGGGGTGGTTGCACGGCCCTGTTCGCGCCCAGATTGTGGGGATGTCTCATGTGGTTTGCCTGTTTGGTTGCTTGGACGAGTCTGCTTTCAAGGCAGACGCGTGAGGATGTCTCAGCCAATTGTTGGCTTCAGCACCCCAGGGGAGAGCCGCCAGGGGTGGTTGCCAGGCCCCGGTCCGGGCCCAGATCGTGGGGATGCCTCACGCGGTTTGCCTGTTTGGTTGCTTGGACTTGCGTCGAAACAGATTGTGCAGATGTCCCAACCGATTTGCTGGTTTCAACACCCCAAGTGGGAGCCGCCAGGGTTGATTGCACGGCCCCATTCGCGCCCAGATCGCCGGGATGTCTTAAGCGGTTTGCCTGTTTGGTAGTGTTTTCAAAACAGTTTGTGGGGATGTCTCAAGCGATGTGCCTCTTTGGTGGCCCAGATTCCTCTGCTTTCCAGGCAGATTGTGGGGATGTCTCAAGCGTCTTATACCTGTTTGGTGGCCCAGACTCCTCTGCTTTCAGAACGGATTGTGAGGCTGTCTCAAACGAGGCGCTGGCTTGATTTAGCCCTCAAAGGGGGAGCCGCCAGGGCCCGTTCGAGCCCAGATTGTTTGGATGCCTCAGGCGGTGTGCCTGTTTTGGCCCGCCCACTTCCCCACTTTCGAAGCAGACTGTGAAGATGCGAAGAGGATGTGGTGAGCGAGGCGCTGGCTTTAGAACCCCAAGGGGGAAGCTCCCAGGGAGCAGATTCTGAGGAGCGGCCAAAAAGCAGATGGTGAGGATGTCTCGAGCGAGGCGCCAGCTGCAGCCCCCCAAGTGGGAGCCGGCAAGGGGCAGGACACTCGCCGGTTCGCTCCGCGACTGTGGGGATGGCTCGAGCGAGGCGCTCGCTTTGCATGTCACACTCCTGTCCAGTCTGAGCCCCATGGTCATCTCGACGTAAGAAAATAGGACGGCCGCCGGGGAGGAGAAGGGAGGACGGAGAAGGAACTGGGGAGACCCAGGGCGAGGGAGAGGGGAGGAGGGAGGAAGAGAGCGGAGGGGCTACGGCGAGGAGGAGGGGGAAGGAGAGGGGATGGGGCCGCCAGAAAAGAGGGGGGGGCACCTGCCAGAAAGGAGGGAGGACGGAGGAGGAGGGCGAGGAAGAGGAAGAAGGAGGACGCAGGAGGAGGAGGGAGAAGGACGACTGCCAGAGGGGTTGGGAGACGACGAGGAAGAAGGAGGCAGACCCACGAGTAGGGAAAAGGGAAGAAAGAGGAAGAGTAGGGAGGGGGCTCGACGAGGAGGAAGAGGAAGGAGAGGGGAGGGACCTGCTCACCACCTGTTTGTGAGTTGTTGTCGTAGTCGTCGCTGTCCCTCGTCGTAGCCGCCGCCGCCGCCACCGCCGTCGTCGTCGTCGTCCTCGTACCGGTCCTCCGACTCTCACTCACACCCAGACACTCACAGCCAGACACTCCCAGAGGGAAGGGCCAGGAAAGGAGATGCACACGTGGAGATCTTCGCCTCGAACAATTTCGCAACGGGCCCCTGGACCACCACAGATCGATCTGGCTCGGCAAATGCAAACCGAAAGGTAGGGTCCAGGGCCCCAGTCGTGATCTTGATGATGTGACCCAGGTCCAGCTCGCGGAGGGGAGGGGCCGAGGTTCAAGACTTTCGGACATTTTCGTCGGTTCTGGGCGGTCTTCCAGCCTCGGGATGCCTTCCAGCGGCTGCGCCTCGCCCAGAGCGCGCCAGGGGCGCCCGGATCATCCCGAACGGCCGCCAGGGAGCTGAGTAATGATACGAAATCCAATGGGATCTGGGAGGGGGAATACGGGAACAAAAAACGGCTCAGACACAAACTTTCGGAGGACCCTGGCGGGGGCGTCGGCCCTGGCGCGCTCCGCGGGCCGGGGAGAGGGGTCCAGCGCCGATCCAAGAAATCTGCGCGGTCCTCCGAAAGTGTATTGACGCCACCTTCTTCTCCGAGAGAAGGAGGAGGCGGAGGACGAAGCGCAGGAGGGAAAGGGACCCCCTTCACCCTTCTCCGCCTCCCGTGCCCTCTCGCCCTCTTAGCCCGTCCCTCTTCGCCCTCCTCCTCCTCCTCCTCCTCCTCCTCCTCCTCCTCTTCCTCCTCCTCCTCCTCCTCCTCCCCATCACCCTCTCCTCCATCCTCCCCCTCACCCTCCTCCGACGACAGCGGCGACGAACGATAGACGACGGACGCCGGACGCCGCACAACGGACAACGGACAGCGGAAGACGAACGACGGACGACGACAACGGCGACGACGACCACGACGACGACGACGACGGCGGCGACGGACCACAACGACGGCGCGACGACAAAAACCGACGTCAAGCAGGCGCGAGCGCGGGGCGGCGGGCCGCGCGGTCCGCCTGCGACGGCTGCGCCGCCTGTACCTTGCCTGGGGGGGCTTGCCAGGGGGTCGTCGTCGTGGTCGTCGTCGATGCTTGTCCGTCGTCGTCACGGTCGATCTCTGCATTCGTCATCGCCGTCGATGTCTGACTTCGTCGTCGTTATATCGTCGACGACGACGGCGTCTTCGTCGTCGTGGTCGTCGTCATCTTCGCCATCGCCTTCGCTGTCGCCATCGTCGTCGTCGTTGCGGTCGTCGTCGCCGTCGCAGTCGTCGACGTCGTGGTCGTCGTCGTCGTCGTCGATGCCTGTCTTCGTCATCGTGGTCGATGCCTGTCTTCGTCGTTGCCGTCGACGGCGACGACGGCGTCTTGGTCGTCGTGGTCGTCCTCGTCTTCGCCATCACCATCGTCGTCGTCGATAGCCGTCGTCGTCGTCATCGTCGATGCCTGTCTTCGTCGTCGGCGGTGTCTTTCTTCGTTGTCGTCATCGTCGTCGACGACGGTGTCTGTCTTCGTCGTCGTGATTGTCGTCGTCGGCGTGGTCGTCGACGATGTCCGTCGTCCTCGTCGTCGATGCCTGTCTTCGTCGACGTCGTCGATGCCTGTCTTCGTCGTCGTCGTCGACAACTGCGTCTTCGCCGTCGCCATTATCGTCGTCGTCGATGTCGTCGTCGTCGTCGTTATCGTCGTCGTCGTTATCGTCGTCGACGTCGCGGTCGTCGTCGTGGTCGATGTCTGTCGTCGTCGCCGTCGTCATAGATGCCTGTCTTGGACGTCGTCGATATCTGTCCTAGTCATTGTCGCACGCCGTCGACGTGTTCGTCGCCATCGTCGTCGTCGTCGTTGTGGTCGTCGTCGTCATCGTCGTCGTCGTGCTCGTCGTCGTCGTCGGTGTCCGTCGTCGTCGTCGTCGTCGATGCCTGTCTTCGTCGTCGCCGGCGGTGACTGTCTTCGTCTCGCCATCGTCGTTGACGACGACGGCAGCGTCTTCGTCGTCGTGGTCGTCCTCCATGTCCGTCGTCTTCGTCGTCGTGGATATCTTCGTACTCGTCGTCGACAACGGCGCCTTCGTCGTCGTGATCGTCGCCGTCTTCGCTGTCGCCATCATCGTCGTCGTCGTGATCGTTGTGGTCGTCGCTTTTGTGGTCGTCGCGGTCGTCGTCGTCGATCTCCGTCGTCGTCATCGACGACGGTGTCTGTTCTCTTCGTCGTGGTCGTCGTCGTCTTCGCCGTCGCCATCGTCATCGTCGTCGGCGTGGTCGTCGTCGTCGATGTCCGTCGTCGTCGTCGTCGATGCCTGTCTTCGTCATCGTCGTCGATGCCTGTCTCCGTCGTCGTCATCATCGTCGACGACGACAGCATCTTCGTCGTCGTGCGCGTCGTCGTCCTCGCCATCTCCATCGTCGTCGTCGTTGTGATCATCGTGGTCTTGGTCATCATCGTCGTCGTCGTGGTCGTCGTCGTCGTCGATGTCCGTCGTCGTCGTTGTCGACGGCGTCTTCGTCGTCGTCGGCGGCGTCGTCTTCGTCGTCGTCGTCATCGTCGTCGACGCCGACGGCGTCTTCGTCGTCGTGGTCGTGGTCGTGTTCGCCGTTGCCATCGTCTTCGCCGTCGTGATCGTCGTCGTCGTCGTTGTGGTCGTCGTCGGCGTCATCATCGTCGTGGTCGTCGTCGTCGTCGATGTCCGTCGTCGTCGTCGACGATGCCTGTCTTCGTGTTCGTCGGCGGTGTCTGTCTTCGTCGTCGTCGTCGCCGACAAAGGCGCCTCCGTGGTCGTGGTTGTGGTCGTCTTTGCCGTCGCCATCGTCGTCCTCGTCGTCGTCGTGGTCGTCGTCGCCGATGCCTGCCTTCGTCGACGTCGTCGATGCCTGTCTTCGTAGTCGCCGGCGGTGTCTGTCTTCGTCGCGTCGTCGACGACGACCAAAGACGACGGCGTCTTCGTCGCTGCCGTCGTCGTCGTCGATATCCGTTGTCGTCGTCGATGTTTGTCTGTCTTCGTCGTCGTCGATGTCTGTCTTCTTCGTCGTCTTCGTCGTCGTGGATCTCCGTCGCCGACGACTACGATGGCGTCTTCGTCGCCGTGGTCGTCAATGTCCGTCGTCTTCGTCGTCGTCGTAGATGTCTGTCTTCATCGTCGTCGATTTCTGTCTGCGGCGTCGCCGTCATCGTCGTCGACGAAGAGGCCGTCGCGGTCCTCGCCGTCGTCGTCGTCGTCGCGTCTTCATCGTCGTCGATGTCTGTCTTCGTTGTCGTCGACGTCTGTCGTCGATGTCCGTCGTCACCGTCGTCGACGACGGCGTCTTCGTCGTCTTCGTTGTCAATGTCCGTCGCCGTTGTAGTCGCCGTGAATGAATGTCTTCGTCATCGTCGTCGTTGTCGATTTCTGCCTTCGTCGTCGTCTTCGTCGTCGAAGTCCGTCGGCGTCAATGTCGATGTCCGTCTTCGTCGTCGTCGTCGTCGATGTCTGTCTGACTGTCTTCGTCGTCGTCGTCGATGTCCGTCGTCGATGCCTGTCTCCGTCGTCGTCGGGGGGGGAGGGGGAGGAGGGACTGGAGCAAACCCAGGGAGCATCAACGCAGCGTTTGCCCTTTTAGTCCCGCCAGCCCTCTTGGCGTAGGTGGTTTAGCGAGGTCGTTCGTCCAACCCCATTCTTTCCGCTTGGGAAGGGGTTTACCCCTGCCCCCACCCACTCCCCTGGATGTGAACTGGGGAGGCCGAGGGGTTAGGGCGTCGAAGATTGCCCAAGAGGGCCCCAAGAGGGCATCGGACCGCCCCAAGAAGGCCTCCAAGATGGCACAAGATGGCCCAAACTGGCTCAAGATGGCCTCCAACATGCATCCAACGCCACGTGAAAGCTCCAAGCGGGCACGGAGCCTCCGAGGATGCCCCCGAGAGGGTAAAGCCCGACAAAACCGTAAAGGAAATCAATGAGTCATGCGTTATCGCCTTTTGACTTTCGATGGGCTTCGAGGCCTCAAGACGGCTCCAAGATTACCCGCCCCATAATGGGCCCATGAAGGACCCACGACGATCCCGAAAGCGTCCAAGAACGCCCCAAGAGCGCCCCAAGAGGGCCCCAAGAGGCGATGCTTCGGTCTCCGAAGGGGGGGGGACGTAATTGAATCCGCCACCCGTTTTCTGTTGGCGATATCTTCCAAGATGACCCGAATGGGATCTCAAAAGCTCCCAAGAGAGCTCAAAGAGAGCCCCACGAGGGTCCCAAGGAAGCCCAAAAGGCCCCCAAAATGGCCCCAGGGGGGGGCGATGCTTGCAGACTAAGCTGCCAAGACATCCCATATCGAAAGACCCACGAAGGTATTCATGATTGACTTCTGGGTCTGCTCAGGCTGGTCCCGAGCTTCGGTTTGCCGGCTGCCTCCACTCGTTGTGCCACTGCTGGCTAATACACTTACTATCCAGGCAACTCGCCGGGACATCTCTTCTGGATGGGCTGGTGAGGGCACGCGAAACGTCAACAAGTTCGCTGCATGCGTAGCTACCTCCTTTCTCCCGACTGGCCGCGTGGGAATCGTGATGGGTGGGCTGCTGGGGACACGATAATTGCTAAAAGTACTCAGATAGATGGAATGAGGCGGAGGAGGATGAAGAGGAGTTGATGGTGATGAGAAAGATCTTAGGAGGAGGAGGAGGAGGAGGAGTTTTACATGATGTATTTGCCAGCAAGTGGTCCGCTGCCTCCAGGGCTAGTCCAAAAGGAGCCACACGGGCTCAGGACAATTCTTCAAAGAGGTCGCCAAGCATGCTCGGATTCAGTACGTACGTGGAGCTGTGCAGGTCGTTCATCCACCTCCCGCTGGTGCAGGTCACGCTCGCACGCTCGGACATGGCCGCGGCCCAGACGTCCGCCGTGACCTCGAAAGTGCTCGAGCAGCACGAGGGGCTGCCGCGGCTACCCGTGCAGCACGGGGAGGTGAGGAGGCCCTTCTCCTTGGCGGCCTCCATGCGGGCGTCGGGGGCTGTCGAGGTGGCTGACAAACGCCGCGGCGCCGAGGCGCCTGGCTCGGCCGCGCCCGACCGTCCCCAGCTCGTGGGTGCCCGCCCTGCGCCGCCGCTCGCGGGTGCCCCTCGGCCGGCCCTGTCCTGGGCTCCTGCTCCCTGCCTGGCAGCGCAGCTTTTCGATGTCGGGGGCGCGCGCGGCGGTGTCATGGAGGTCCGGGGACCACCTCCTTTTTCGGCAGGCCCCATGATTATACCCACCACCACCACCCCCACCACCACCCCCTCCGTTCCCCCTCTCTCCTCAACCCTCCTCTTCCCCTCCTCTTTCCTGGGACGGGGTGGTGATGTATAGTAGAATAAATTGAGGCCCCGTTGTCTTCTTCACCCCCGCACTCCCGGGCAGCTTCGACGGCAAGCGCAACTCTGCAAACGGCCTCGAGGAGGGGGGGCAGGCACGCTTCGCAGGAAGCCAACGATATGATCTCCGAGCGCGCAGCCTACATAGTGGCAATCGGGCCCCAACTTGCACGAGGTCTGCGAACCACAGTGATCGGGCCCCAACTTGCACGAGGTCTGCGAACCACAGTGATGAAAGAACAGCACACAGTCAAACCTACATGGAAGGAAGAATGGGGAAGGGCAGGGAGATGAAGGCGCTATGGGTATGGGTGCGGATTGTCGGACACCGAGAGGGGCTCCCATTCGAGCGGGGGCCCTCATCCGACAGCACACACCCATAGTCCCCACTGAATTCCACCCTGAGACATCGAAAGGTCGTAGAAGTATGGGTGCGAAGTGTCAGCTCATGACACCAGGCTAACCATCCCCCTCCTGCGCCATCACTCCGACGTCACGTTCCTTGCACGAAGTGGGCCCCAGGGATCTTGCCCCCTTCGTTGGGGCACAACCGCGGATCGATGTTTGGTCTCCCTAGGACCCGAAACAAGCCTCTGGAGCCTGGAGCCATAGATTACCTTAAAAAATACCGCTGGGATGTGTTCACGAAATCCGGAATCCTGCGTCGACTTCCTCCAGAGTCTCCTCCTCGTCCTCCCAGTCCTCCTGCCCCTCCACCTCCATCCTTGTCCT